ATTTATATTATTTAATAAATATTGCTAATATATTAGATTAACTATAATATAGTATATTATAGAATAATATAATATAATAAACATGTTGATAACAACTCTATATTAATTACATTTAATATATTATGTTAGATATTATATTAACACATTCTCAAACTCAAAACCAAAACACCGAACTTAAAACATCTAAAAGATGTTTTGAAATAAATGTTGTGTTTTTGGTTAGAGGATGATTTAGCTTAAAAAAACACCATGGTTTCCAAACACGTGGTGTTTTGCGTGGTGTTTTGTTTTTGACAAAAACACCATGGAAACAAGTAAAACACCACGGTATTCAAACGGAGCCTTAACTTTTCTAAAAGCACCCCTATCCGTAAATGACAAATGACTAAACTGTACTTGAGAGAAAGATCTTACTTAATCATTTGATATTTTACAAGCAATGAACCGCCTCTTCCCTGGTTGGGGCTTTTTTCCCTTTTTCTCAAGGAGATGTTAGTTATTTTTCTTACTAGTAGAGGGACCACGACAAAAAGTTGAAAGTTCAAGAGAGTTATATGAAAACCCTGTTAGTAGAATAAACGAAGTTCAGGTCTTTACGTCAAAACCAACTCAAGGTTTGGAGCGGTTTATGAAATTTATCCAATTATTTTCATGCCCTTATTTGTTTAATCATGAAAATGATACAACACCTCGTTTGTTTGCGTGAAAATTGAGTGAAGTGAGAATGAAATGAAGCAAGAAATGAAGCAAAATTAATGTGAAAATGAGATGTTCATTTCTATTATCACGTTTGGGTACAACTTAGAGAATAAAGAGGGAATGAACATATTTTCTCTACCATCTCATGGGAAATCCTCATCCCCACATAAAGTGGGAATGAAGAGAAAATAAGAATAGGCATTCTAGCTTCCAAAAAGAGATTGTGTTCGTAGTAAGGAATGAGAAGTAGAAACCATCAATCAATTTCCACTCATTCTCCCAAAAGTACTTATGCCAGTAAGATTATTTTAGTTCTAAAATATATTATATTTTCTCAATTTTTGAAAGGAAGAAAGAAGTGGTCTTTCCAGGTGGCTAAGTTGAGTTTCTTATAATCAATGTAGACTCGCCATCGAGCTTAGATTCGAAGGAATTAGTGTCATTCTGGATTACGGTGATCCTTGACTTTTTAGGAACAATCTAGACCGGACTCACCCAAGAATGATCAGAAATGAGATAAATGATCTTATTACCAATATATTTTAAAATATCTTTCCAAACAGCTTCTTTCATCATCGGATTTAACCTACACTAGGTTTGGCATCATTTATCAAATGGATTCTATGTTAAATAATAATAGGCATAAGAATAGCTATTTAAACGTAAGCAGAACAACTTAACCATAACCATAACAACAAAATCATAACCTTAACAACAAAGCCATAACCATAACAACTAAGCTGTAACCATAACAACCAGGGCATGACCATAACAACTAAACAATAACCATAACAATTTAGCCATAAGCATAACAACCAACCCATAACTTTAACAACCAGATCATAACCTTAACAATTAATGCATAACCTTATCAACTAAGCTGTAACCTTAACAATGTTTCCTTAATCTTAACAACAAAGTCATAATCTGAATGCACAACATTATAACAAACATTCTAAATGGGTATCATCCAATACATATTGTTAGATGCTAATACAAAATGTTACTAAGTAATACATATATTTAGCAACTAGATAGGCTCGTTGCATGTTTGTCGATTGTGACTTTCCATGTGGCATCGGGAGCACTTAACAGGACGGGTGTTCAACGACCTGTTGTTTATTCATCTGGTATATGGTCTTCCACGTCTTTTATAGTAAGGGGAGGCTTTAACAGACGGTCTTCTAGCGGTATAACATGCTTCTCGTAATCTAAAATAAAAAAGAGAATCGGTTTATAAGTTGATCTAGGGCTGGGCGTATTCGGTTCGGTTCGGTTTTAAGCCCAATCCGCATCCAATCCGAATTTTTCGGATTCTCAAAACTCTCATCCAGATCCAGATTTTTTTTCCCTTCATCTGAATATTCGGCCCAACCGAAATTCGGTTCAGTTCGGTTCGGTTTCGGTTTTGAACCGAATTAACTCCATTTCACAAAAATCTGGGTAAGTTTTAGTTATATCCAAAACTGAAAAGAAGCAATCAAAACTGAAAAGAAACAATCAAAACTGTACTAAGCCACTTAATCAAATTGTATGATCTGAATATAACTAGCTTAATACACTAGGAGGACCATGTAATTATGTAGCCTTTTTTAGAGAAAGAACAATGTTTGGCAGGCACACACACCTTTTGATGATTTTCGTTAATTTTTAGCTGTCTTTTTCTCATCAAGAATTATCTTATATCCTTGACAGGCTATACAATAGGTTAATTTGATATCCAGTACCAGCAAGCTGTATTCATGTTATCACTGAAATTTGACCAAAACACTAAATTTATCCTTCAACCTCAACATCTTGTATTGATTTACGGAAATCTCATTTAACTATATCAGCGTACTCAAATATATGTTAGTATAAACTCCACCCCACAATTCTTAAATGCTAAACATTCAGCCATAAATTTTCTTCACACCCAAGGCTCGCAGCTACTTTTTGTTTAAGAATTCGGTTCGGTTTTTTTTGGGCGGTTCAGGGGTTCAAACCGGATCTAGACCAGTTTAATTCGGTTCGGGCGGTTTAGAGACTTCTTCTCATCCATTTAATTCGGTTCGGTTAACCGATCCGTTTTTTCGGGCGATTTTTTCGGTTGAACCGGTTTGTTTCGGTTTTTGCCCACCCCTAAGTTGATCTGAATGTTATAGCTGTTATAAATCAATCACAATATTGATAAATATCTCGTCTCATCCAAGTAATTGCAGCACAAGCGTGCTTGCAAGGAATACAGGTGATATCCCAAGACCTGCATGAACATGTTCGATTCATCAAATCTACACGACAAGTTATAAGATTCAACCTCTATAATATCTTCTGTCGAATGTTTAATATGCAAGCAACTTCCATGATGAATATTATCACTCAACACTATCTCCGCTTCTTGACATAAGTATCCAGACTAATTCACTACCATAAGCCTTCTTTCATGTATGTGCTCCATGATTTGCTTTTGTATTGTCTCCACCAAAGGTAAGATACGTAACATTCGTGCATTTCTTATCCAATTGTTAAAGGACCCAGAAACGTTTGAAGTAACATGGTCATACCTATAAATCACATGAAAAAATTTTATAAGTTTTACTATAACCTTAACAACTAAGATGTAAGCATAACATCTAAGACGTAACCTTACCAATAAAAACCTTACCTTAACAATAAAATGGTAAACTTAACAACAAAACTCTAACCTTAACAATCAAAACCTAACTTTAACAATAAATCTATAGACGTAACAACAAAACTATACCCTTAATAACCAAAATCAAACCTTAACAACTAATCTGTAGACTTAATAACGAAACTGTAACTTTCACAATAAAACTGTACCATTAACAACCAAAACTGTAACCAGAAGGCATTTGAGACTTTGAAGACTAAGTTGACTACAGCGTCGGTGTTGATCATCCCGAACAGTGATAAGAACTTTGTCGTCTATACGGATGCATCGTTAACGGGTTTAGGAGGTGTTTTGATGCAGACCCAGAGACTAGTAGCTTACATTTTGAGACAATTGAGGACTCATGAGCAGAACTATCCCACACATAACTTAGAGTTAGCAACAGTGGTCTTCAGACTGAAGACGTGGAGACATTACCTCTATGGGGTACAATTTGAGGTTTTCACGGACCACCAGAGTCTGAAGTATCTCTTCTCCCAGAAGGAACTCAACCAGAGGGAGCGGCAATGGGTCGAGTTCATTAATGATTATGAGTTCACGATTCCGTATCATCTGAGGAAGGTAAACATTGTAGCAGTCGCATTAAGTAGAAAGCAT